CAGGGGGTAGGAAAAAGATTCTTTGATTTTCTATATCCAGGAGTTTTTTGGATCGTAGAATACGATTACGTGGTCAAAATTGTGAAATTCAAAATTGCGGATCCAATATGACGGACAAGATGTTACATAATCTAAAATTTGACGTATTTTATAAAAATTCCGTGTTTGTTGTCATGTGTATAATTTATGAGTGCGAAAATAAAATTTTCAAATTAAATTATCGATCATTGACGTCTAAAAAATAGGAAAAAAATTTTAAAGATATATTTTTCAAGACCCTCTGCATTAGTTGGTAAATTTTTATTTACGACCCCAGAATGTGCCACGAGAAGGCTGCAGAATGGAAATTACATTCCGTTTTTTCTTTTTTATTTTTTTTTATTTTTTAATGTTTTTTTATTTGACACTGTTCATTTAACTGTGACATGAAGACATAGAAAAGAACCTGAATTTTTAAAAATCTATCTCCGTAACTATTTATAAAAGAAACTGAATTTTTACAGAAACTATCTCCGTAAATACTTATGGTAAAATCATAGCGTAAAATGCTAAGCCAAATAAAATAGAACACTTATATAAATCAGCGACATATGCAATTTAGAATTATGTGACACATTCTATTCTCCATATTAGATCAGCTAATTTGAATTTATCAATTATAACTGCAAATACGTATTTTACGATTTGATAAACACCTGACCACGAAATTTTAATAAAATAAGTTCATTTTTTGTTTATATGATATTTTTGCTCGTCATATTGAATACGCCGTTTGGAACTTGTTAATTTTAATCACAAATTCGTATTCCGCGACCCAGAAAACCCTTGGACAATAAATTTTAATGAAATAAATAAATTTTCGAATTATGTGACATTTTTGTACGCCATATTGGATTCGCCATTTTGAATTTGTCAATTTTAACCAAAAATACGTATTCTACGACCTAAAAAACCCTGTATATACAGTTTTGCAAAACTATTGCAACAACGATCTGCGAGAAAATGCATTTGACGCCATATGGCGTCAGTGCCCCCTGGGGCACGAAAAAATTTGACGCCATGTGGCGTCAATGCCGCTCAAGGGATTAATAATTTGAAAATTTGTATAAAACTTATTTGCAGAATGGTAAAGGACTTTTTTATTCGAAATGATCTAACCTACAATTTTATGTCGGGTGTTGTGTCTAGCGATATATGTGAGTATATTGGACTTTAAACCCTGAATGTTGAACCTATCGTTAGGCACAATAACCGTCATATAATCGTAGATACGGTAATTCTGAACAAAAGAAGTCCTTTATCATTTTGCAAACAAGTACGCAAATTTTCAAGTTATCAATTCTAAAAAGCTTCTAAATAGATATGGTCATTTTCAATCATTGATAATTTAATAAGTATTGCGATTTTTGCAAAATGGTACTTGACTCTTCTTCTCAGTTTAGTCTGATTAGTCTTCTCAATTTTTCATTTTCAAAAGATCCCGGACACCCTGTATATTCAGTATGAGAGCGACAAAAATGTTACTAGGTGATGACTATGATAAATCACTATAGCGGCACGTCTGACAAGCAAAAAAAAATTAAAATTTCTTCGATGCGATAGGGAAGGGTAAACAGCGTCCTTGGCAGGACATGAAAATTTTGGCTAAAAAAAAGGACAATCCTTTCCAAAGAAGGACAACTCCACGTACATATCATTTTGCGTAATTACCTATATTTATATAGCGTGTAAATGCTCAGAAATGAAAAACGAGGAACATGTTGAGGTTTCATCGACTACGTGTTTTCTTCGTCACATCATCCGCCATCGTTTTTCACTTGTCTCCAAAATTCACGTATTACTTTCACGTCCGCAATGGCCGACACCCATATAGCGCGATATAGCGTTTCCAAATTCGAATTACTTCGAAGAATCCAAGCCAGTCAAGTTGCCGTGCAAAGTCGGCTGGACGACGTTATTCGATTGAAACTTTGAGCGTAATTTAAACGAGCACAATTACCCTCTCGCAGCTAATTAGATGGCGATTCAATTAACCGCATTGATTTCAGCAGAAATAACGGCCCCGTATGTGTACTCCGTCTCTCCGTCGTCCGCCGCGGAGTAAAACCGAAGTTAATTAATGACAATGTACATCGCGCTGAGATGGAACCGCCGCGCCGGTGAGACGGCGGCAAAATTACACAAGGAATCTAATCGCAGCGGCCGCTGCGCCGACGAGAGCGCGGCAGCGGATTAAAAAATCAAATCTCCCCGCCAGCATAGAGGAGTCGCGCGGGCATATTGATTTTTCTACTCCGGTGCAGCCAATGACCTAACGTTACCTCGCCTGCGAGCACGACCCTAACAAAGATTATTCGAAGAATGACGTGCCGTACACGGCGTAGCATCGTAGAAATCGACACCCATTTACCATTTCGTATTCTCGATTGTGTCGCTCACACATGTGACCGCTCCGCGCACGTCATACCGAGCATCTTAAGACACTATCTGGCAGCCGCCCAATCCGGTCATATTTCTCCGATCGCGAAGGGTCACGCGGCTGTGCGACAGGATCCCCAAGGCCGCAAAGATTTACCGTGGACATTAAATTACGACCGTCGCGACTGATCTTCGGGATCGGTATTCTCTGAACGGGACGTCGAAACCGAGCTCGCTGATCAAACGACGCCGTTGAACGACGCTTTTGTTTCTTCTTTTCTCGATTTCTTTTCTTCTTCTTTTTTTGATCTTTCCTTTCGTCTCCAGAGCGTTGCGTCCAGTGGGCTTTTCGGCCCTGTGGGACCGAATCTTCTCTCTCTTTTGTTGAAAATCGAGGTTTGTCAGGAGGACGTATATATGTATACCATATACATATATATGTGTCCGTATACTTCATCGTCCGTTGGAAACGAGATGATCATATATCTTCGTAGGCAACCAGAGCTCGGGTGAAACAAGTTGCGGTATTTGCGACTTCCGAGGAAAAGATGAAAATAGAGAGTCTATGAGACTTTATTATCTTTATTATCGTAACAAGAAAAGATAAAACAAGCAAGCCAGTAATAAATATTCAGTCATCCGAGAGAGATTCGAAAAAGTTCGTAAAATTTTGAGGATAACTCAAATATGTCATATGTTTCCAACACGAGAGACGAACTATAATATCTGGGAATAATAAATATAATAAAATAAAAAAAATATGATAATAATAAATTTCTTTTACCGAAATATTCACAAAAATGCACGTCAGTGTATATGCTACTGTTCGACAAAAAAAGAACACCAGAATGAAACTAGCTTTTCCATTTCCTGTAGTTTTTTAAACACCGAATATGAATCTGGTTTTCAAATTGATCCATCACGTTACATTTTTGAGAAATTTGCAGTTGAAGTTGCAAAAAGGACCGTTTTCACGTATATTGTCATATTCTAATTACGAACTAATTACGAAATATGACATGCTGGAGAAGTTTTATTGTAATCAACATTAAGTATGTTGTTAGCATGTTGTTATAAGTTTTTAGCAAGCGATAAAACTATCGATTCTGATAACTGCACTGTCTGCAATTAAACCAGCTGAAAGCGGCGGCCGACGAGAAACGCCCGGAATTGACAAATCATAAGGGCTTTGTTTCTCCCCATGACAACGCGAGACATGTAACTTTGGTTACCCAGAAAAAATTGTCGAGCTTCAGTTGGGATGTCTCACCATACTCAGCGTATTCCCCTAACAATCTGACTATCACTTGTTTCGTTCGCTTCAAAACAATTTAAACGTTAAAGAATACCAATTCTTGTAAGCTGTCAAAATTTAGCTGGATAAATTCTTTAATGAAGATTCGACTGAATTCTATACACTGACGGAATATGAAGCTATTTGGAAAACGGTTTAACATTGTCCAAAAAAGTGGTGCATGCATTACTGGTGAAAGTTGCATCTTAATATTTAATTTCTGAGTTTCAAACTGTTGTTAAAAGAACCTGGCCGAACTTTTCAACCAGCCCTGTAGTGTTATTCTTATTGTACTAAGCTCAAACTATCTATAAACGATGTAGGAAATCGATAGGGGACTTTTAACTTTTTGTGTGGCAGTAGTAAGTATATTTACCATTGTCCCTTCTTTCATTTTTGCGAAGTACTATTTATAGTTTAATAAAACATAGTTTTAATAAAAACAAATATAATCTCGCATATATTAATACTTACTTTACATGTTTTTCATAGTTATTAAGTTTATGATAATTAAAAATAACCATATCTAAAAGCTCTATTAATTGATAACTTGAAAATTTGTATACCTATTTGCAAAATAATAAACGAAATAGTAGCGATAGATATGAGTATATTGAACTTTGAACCCTGAATCTTGAACCTGTCGCTAGGTACAATAGCCGTCATATAATTGTAGATTAGGTCATTTTGAACAAAAAAGTTCTTCACAACTTTGCAAATAAATAGGCAAATTTTCGAGTTATCGATTAAAAGAGCCTCCAGATGTGGCATTTTCAATCATTAATAACTTAATAACTATTGCGACTTTTGCAGAATAGAATTTTGCAAGGTGCGGTTTTTGCAAAATTACTTGACTTTTTTCTCAGTTTGATCTGATTAATCTCCACAATTTTTCGTTTCCAAAGAATTTCGGACACCCTATATATTTTTGCCAGAATTTTTCGCACTCTACATCCTCTTTTTATAAATAAATACTTGAATAAATTTTATAAATCCAATATGAAATTCGTAATCAGCTAAAAAGTCTTTATATCATATATCTGATTTACATTTATTCAGACTCATACTGATTTATTTAACCTCTACACAGCAGCCTCTATTTGACCTGCCATTTTGAATTTCTGAAGTCTCACTTCAGATCTGATAATGAGCAAGCCAAAGCACAGAAAAAGCCGTCAAGTAGAAAAAATGTGCCACACAAAAAGGGTTAAACATCTCCACTGCACAATTGCGTAGCGTGTCACCCAATTATTATAACCTCACCCTCGTTGTATTGTATTCTTCGCAGCAGCCGCGGCGGTGAAGTCCGGGTGTCGGCGAGAGAAACGATGAACGAATCTAGACGAGCCGGGAACGTAGCGGCGCGATAATAATAATATGTGGACAACGCGGCCACGGACCAGGCGAAAGTCGCGACAACCGTCGACCCCGTCGTGCAAGGGACGCGATAATCGGACGTGGAATCGCCGTCGGGACAGCTTTCGCATCATCTATTCGGTGATATTGGCGGCCTGCATGGCGACGCAAGAAGCGAGATGCGCCAAGTGCCCGCCACCGGACACAATACCCGGCTGCCCGTGCTACAACTTCGAGAACGGCGGTCTGTTCCTGGAGTGCGCAGGTGCCACCGAGGAGTCCCTCAGGAACGCTTTGTCCGGCGTGATACATGCCGCCGGCGATGAAGGTAACCGTCCATGATGCGACACGCAAAAAACAGGTTACACCGCGCGGAGAACACGTATTCCCCTCGCATACATAAGCAGAAATAGCCGTAGCCGCGAACATAAGCCGTTGGAACAAGCCAATATTGGCGCCGACAAGATCGGCACCACAGTAACCGTGCGACTCGAGATAAAGCAAAAGAAAAGGAGAAAATCAAAGAAAGCTCTTGAGAGACTCTCTAGTCGGTATCTATGCAAATGTAGTCAATAAGCTTGGATATCTTCTTCTTGCAGCTCTTGCTCCTGAATCCTTGAGCATGAATATGCTTGAATATAATTAAATGCGGATGTGCACGTGTGTGTGTGTGTGTATGTGCGTGCGTGCACGCGCGTATGTTCTCCAGGGTATTTAAGTGTAATTTATACGCTTGTATATTCTTGAGAAAACTCCTAACGGTTTAATCCTGCTATGTATACGAGAATAACGTGCGCGCGACAGGGGTCGATACACGTCTCTTATACGTATTTTATATCTTCCCGCGACGCTGCGAGGCAGATCGATGAGATCGCGTTCGTCAGATCTGGAAAATCGAATTACGCATCTACGAAAAATTGAATCCCGTTGCATTGTACACGCGCCATGTAAAATCTGTTCGGTTCTCTTGATAGAACCAAACAGATTTTCATCGCGATCTGTCTGATTCCTCCATTCGCGATATCATCGGTATTTTTAATAAAGCGCGGTATATTTTTCATGTAGGAGAAAAATAAAGCACACGATACAAATCGAAGGACGAATATCGTATTGTAACTGTTTGTCTCGAGGGATTAAAAAGTTACAAAGCGAGCGCGAACGCGGTCCGGCTTTAAACGAAATATCCGGCGATTGTTTCAGGCGTGCTCGTGCAATCGTTGAGCGTGTACGAATTAGACCGAAAAGTAGAGGAACTTCGGTCCGCCGCTTTTCCGGCGGGCTCGCAAATTAGGCATCTGCAAATATCGCATTCCGCGATCCGCGAGATAAGCGAGAATGCTTTTGAGCGACTAAGCAAAAGCCTGGAATCCTTGGCACTCGTATCCGGCCGACTAGCTCAGGTACCTCAAAAGGCAATGGGCACGCTGAGCCTACTCAAAGCGCTGGACCTCGAGGCTAACCTCGTTCAAGAGCTGCCCAGCTTCAGCTTCTACGGGCTCTCCTTGATCAAGCTAAACCTCAAGGGTAATCAAATCATGAAAATCTCCGAATATGCCTTCGCCGGGCTCGAGGGCACGCTGAAGGACCTGGACCTGGCGGAGAACAAGATCCGGCTGTTCCCCATGACTTCCCTGAGACGATTGGAACACCTTACGTCCTTAAGGCTCGCGTGGAACGAGGTGTCGCAGCTGCCGGAGGACGGCTATTCCAGGCTGGACGCCTTGAACTTCCTCGATCTCAGTAGCAACAATTTCAAGGACATACCGCTCAATTGCTTTCGCTGCTGTCCGTCCCTCAAGACCCTGTCCCTTTATTACAACGCGGTCGAGTCGGTGGACAAGGATGCCTTCATATCGCTGATTGACCTTGAGTCGATTGATCTCAGCCACAACAAAATCGTGTTCCTCGACGTGGCGACCTTCCGTGCCAATCAAAAACTCAGGTCGATCGATCTCAGCCACAATCACATACACTACATCCGCGGCGTGTTCTCGCGGCTGCCCGAGCTGAAGGAGCTCTTCCTTGCGGAGAATAACATCCTCGAGATACCCGCGGAGACGTTCTCCGGCAGCACGAGTTTGTCGGTCGTATACCTGCAGCAAAACGCCATCAGACGGATCGACGGCCGTGGCCTCGCGACGCTCAGCCAACTGGCGCAGCTGCACCTGAGCGGCAACTACATCGAGAAGGTGCCGCGCGACTTCCTCGAGCACTGCGAGAACCTGTCGACGCTCTCGCTCGACGGCAACAACATCCGCGAGCTCGAGGTAGGCACGTTCGCCAAGGCGAAGCAACTGCGCGAGCTGCGGCTGCAGGACAACCAGATCACCGAGGTGAAGCGCGGAGTGTTCGCGCCGTTGCCGTCGTTGCTGGAGCTGCACCTGCAAAACAACGCAATCACGGACATGGAGACGGGCGCGCTCAGGTCCCTGCACAGTCTGCAGCACGTGAATCTGCAGGGCAACCTCTTGGCGGTGCTCGGCGACGTGTTTCAGATATCCAACGACGTCGGGCAGAGTGAAAGCAGCGGTAGCTCGTTGGTGTCCATTCAGTTGGACAACAACGGCCTCGGCGTCTTGCACAATGACTCGTTAAGAGGTCAAGCCTCGGTCAGGATCATGTGGTTGGGGCACAATAGGCTGACTCGTTTGCAAGCGCCATTGTTCCGAGACCTGTTGCTGGTGGAGCGGCTCTACCTCACCAATAATTCCATCTCGCGGATCGAGGACACCGCGTTCAAGCCGATGCAGGCGCTCAAGTTCCTCGAGCTTAGCATGAACCGGTTGAGTCACGTAACCGTCAAGACCTTTTCAGAGCTGCACGAGCTCGAGGAACTCTACCTGCAGGACAACGGCCTGCGACGTTTGGATCCTTACGCCTTGACCGCCCTCAAGCGACTGCGTGTGCTCGACTTGGCGAATAATCACCTCAACGTGTTGCACGACAAGATCTTCCAGGAGGGCCTACCGATCAGAACGCTCAACCTGAAGAACTGCACCATCACCGTCATCGAGAACGGCGCCTTCCGCGGACTGAATAATCTCTATGAACTGAATCTCGAGCACAATCACTTCACTGCCACCGCTCTAGACCGTCTCGACATACCGGGGCTGAGGGTCCTGAGAATATCGTACAACAACTTCAGCCAGATCAACGGCAACTCCTTGGACGGCTTGCCATCTTTACAGCATCTCGCGATGGACTCGTCGCAGATCAGCAGGATGCCAGCCGAGATCTTCTCGAAGAACAAGAATCTGGGGAAACTGTTACTCAGCAACAATCGACTCAGGGTACTACCAGCGACGTTGTTCCTAGGCCTGGAGGTGCTCAAGGAAGTCAAGCTGGACGGCAACCGGTTCCAGGACGCGCCGTACGATGTGTTCGCGAACGCCAGCACGGTGGAGTTTCTCTCGCTGGCGAACAACGTGCTCCTGCAGATGGACATGTCGCGGCTCAACGGACTCATCAGCCTGCGCGAGCTCGACCTACGCGGCAATTACATTATGTCCCTCACCGGCTTCTCCACCGCCAATTTCTCCCGTCTGATATCCGTTGATCTGAGTCACAATCACCTGGCGGCTCTGCCGGCCAACTTTTTCGCCCGCTCGAACATGCTGCGTAAGATCGAGCTGGCGGCCAATAAATTCCGTCAGATACCCGCGGTGGCGCTCACGGCGCAAAATATCCCCGGTTTAGCCTGGCTCAACGTCACCGCCAACCCCCTTGTGAGAATACACGAGATCAGCTCGGAGGCCAAATATCCGGCCTTGCAGGAGATCCATATATCCGGCACGAACCTGACCATCGTCACCAGCCAAGACTTCGAGGCGTTTCCCGCGCTGATGCATCTTTTCATGGGCAGCAACATGATATCCCGGGTGTCGCCCAGCGCATTCCGAAGTCTTCCCAATTTATTGACGCTGGATCTCAGCGTGAACGAGCTGGAGCTGCTGCCGCAGGAGAGACTGAAAGGGCTGGAACACCTGCGACTGCTGAATCTCACGCACAACTGTTTGAAAGAGCTCGAGGACTTTCCGCCCGACCTCAAGGCTTTGCAAGTGCTCGATCTCTCGTACAATCAGATAAGCGGAGTGGGAAAGAGCACGTTTCAGCATCTAGAGAATCTGGCCGAGCTGCATCTCTACGGGAACTGGATATCGTCGATCTCGCCGGACGCGTTCAAGCCCCTGAAGAAGCTCAGGATTTTAGATCTAAGTAGAAACTACTTGGCGAACTTACCGCTGAATGCCTTTCGACCTCTCGAAACGCAAATACGGAGTTTACGAGCCGAGGGTAAGTACGACGTAGCGTACGCTCGCTTTATTTATTCCCTTCGACTTTCGCCGCTCCCGTCACGCTCATGTGGCGCGGCCATGAATGCCCGCCGCGCGACATCACCGCGAATTAACGATCCTCGCCCCGCGCGCGCTATTAATTCATTCATTTCAATCGCTCGCTATTATCCGCAAAAAATACGGCCCTCTATTCTGCCGTCCCGCTCCGAGCCGTGGGAGAAAGAGAGAGAGAGAGAGAGAGAGAGAGAGAGAGAGAAAGAGGGAGAGAGAGAGAGAGAGAGAGAGAGAGAGAGAGAGAGAGAGAGAGAAGGCCTATTCTGAAATCGGTCTCGAAAACTTTGGATTTAGTTATAAGACCGACAGGCTTTATAAACTAATTTAGATACGTTCCGTAATTGATCAGCTGATCACGCTTGGGCATTCACAGCCATCTACATTGGGAAGCAAAACGGCTTCGACAGATTTTTTACAAACGTTAGTTTTACATTACTAGTTTAGTTCTAAAATTTGCGAATCACTGCTCAAGGACTTGCGCAAGAAAGAGAGAGAGAGAGAGAGAGAGAGAGAGAGAGAGAGAGAAAGAGACCCGCGATTTTTTGGTTTGCATAGTTTGGTTAGTAGTGATTCTCAAATTCACAACTACACGGATCAATCAATGGCCGCGTTCAGCAGAAAAAGCTGTTTACTAAGCGCTTAGTGATTATTAACTATGATTGAAGTATTCTTTTAGATCTTTAACAAATCCAAGGGAATGAACCAATCAGGAACGATAATCACTAAGCGCTTAGTAAGCAGTTTTTTCTGTTGAATGTGGCCAATATCAATGTCACTAGAAAAGAAAACTGTCGAAACTATTTTGCTTTCCAGTGAACTAATTTCTGCTTGCAAACTTGGTTTTAGCAATTAATTTTGTAATATTAAATAGAGAAATGGATAGATTTTTTATTACTTATTATTCTTTTACTTATTACTCTATTACTATTTACTCTATTACTCTTAATAATTGATCAGCTGGTCAATCACGGAACATATCTAAGTTAGTTTAAGCCTACCAACCTTACAAACTAAAATCAGTTTCCGAAAGCGATTTAGGGACTTTCATCCATTCGTCGGGTAAAATAATTCGTGTGTTCCGAGAGAGACCATCGCGGATCCTGACACTGTGGTACATCGAAGCTTTTTTTCTTACACCACCTTCCTTCTCCTCTTCCTGCCTTCCTCCTCATCTACCATCGGTACGATATTGCTCGCGCACATATGCTATCATTCACATGGATCACGTTGTGCCATGCTCGACAACAGCAATCTCGACCGATGATTGGTCGCATGCAGAACTCAGCGCTGAGCCGACGAGTCTTCGCATGCGAGTGAATTCGACCCGGTCGAAAATAGCCCCGCAGGTAGTTACACTTGCGGAGCTCCTCGACATCGAGTGAACGATATAAGTACAGAGAGAGAGAGAGAGAGAGAGAGGAAGGGAGGGAGAGAGAGAGAGAGAGAGAGAGAGAGAGGACCGGGGCTCGTACAATCGCACACAACGACAGGCAACGTTACACGAAACATTACGGTGCTATTCAGTATACAAGAACTCGACGCGCGCTATACATATGCGATATACAGCGGTGGCGTCGCGGCGACAATTCAGGCTGCAGTAAACGTCAGCGGGCGTTTACGGGCGGATCCAATGCGCCGCGATCCCTCCGCAATTCTCGAGACGTTCGTGACGATTGTGCGGGCCTCGAGTTGCGCAGGATACGATGCGGTAAAAACTTTCGCGGCAAGCCCCCTTCAGGGACGACAGCAGCGATCGCCCATAAATATCAAAAGAAAGAGGGGGAGGGCAAGGCGGCGACTCTCCCGAGGTAATCGCGGGGATTGTAGTACCAAGAGGGGCCCCTATGAAGTAGCGAGCTGAAATTCTTGGAGTACATTTCTGTAGTTGTGGGAATGCTAAATATAAAATATTGGTCCTAGCAATAGCTTATTAACAGTTCATTTGTTGATTAAAAGCCGAGTTTGAGGGGTCTTGCTTCTTAGCGATGAGTCCACTTGGCAACCTTCGCCGGGACAAAGTCTAATTGCTTTAATCAGTTCTGACAACGGGTCAAGGTTCGTTTGACGCACTTTTCGCCGTTAAAAATACTCACGGAGATAAAAGTCAAGTTACTCTGATGGAACACTGACTCTTTGCAACCTGTGTCATAAAGGTTTCCACTGGGATTCAATAATCTGGATGTTAATGCCAGTTTCTTTGCGGACAATCAGATGATTATGTCCCTTATGTTCAAGATTAGGTTAGATAAAATTAGGTTAGGTTGCGTTAGGTACATGATAGATTCAGTATCTATTACTTTAATATACGATAGACTCATCGTCAATTTAGTACGAAAGGCGAAAGATTTAAATATTTTAATACGAAGCAATTTAAAAATTCGTTAATCATTATTAATAATCTTGTTGACAACAGTGTTAAGCAAATTTTGGGATTTCAAAGGAAGAGACAAAGAGAAGACGATCATTTGAACCGCTAGTTTTATCTGTCCAATAACTTTTTTGGCCTTCCGTGAGATCACGAAAATGTCACAAGTTCTCAAAATGTTGATGTAGGAGTCAAAAATTGTGCCCAAGTATGATTAAGAAGCAGAAATTCGTTAAGCTGCTGTTTAATTGCTCGGGCTAATGTTTTATATTTACCTTTCCCATACTTAGAGAGAAGTGTGCTATAAAAAATTCAGCTCACTGGCTCGTAAGGGCCCTTCGGAATTATATCCATCATGGGTATTAAATGCGCGTAGAGAATCCACTGCACTGCGACTGCGAGTCCCAGGAGCTCTGGGAATGGCTGCGCGACCATCAGAAGCTGGTCGGCGGCGGGATGAGCCGAAATCGCGGCGGAGGCGGACTGAGGGTGAACGACATGGACAGCGGTCTACTGCGATGCGAGCAGCCGCCGGAGCTGCGCGGCCTGGTGTTCCTCGACCTGGACCCGCACGCCTTCTGCTCAGCGCCACTGGTGCTGAAACTGGCGATCCAGGACATTCAGCCGTTCTCCGTGCTGGTCTCGTGGCAGAGCAGGAATCACTCCGGCCTGCGGGGCTACCAAGTGGCCTATCACGCGTTGGACAACGTCGACGAGGTACTAAAAAGCAGACGCTCGCGAGCTTATTGTGTGTCGCGCCGACAATGCAACCGGCTGCGAGAGCGCGCGGAGTATAAATTCAGATAGCGGTCGAAGGAGGGCGGGGAAGTGGGGAGGGAGGCAGGCGGTGTAAAACGCGCGTGTAAAGTGTAAACGGCGCTTGATTCGATCGATAGTAAAATCCGAGGGGAACGAACGACGAGGCGAACTGTGGGCGGGGGACGCTCTCTCTCTCGTCGACGAGACTCTAATTCATCCTTTACAAAAACGTGTCATCACATTCGCTGCGACGACTTTCGCACGCGCGCGCGCGCGCGCGTCGTACGGATCGATCGCGCGAGCATCGGGCGCGCGAAAAAAGCCGCGGCAACTTTTGTCGATCGCATTCATCGTTTTTATCGCTGCGCAAGAAATCAAGTCTGTTTTCTGTAATTTCTCTAATTGCTGGATGATAGCGGTACAGTGCACGCGCGCGTGCATGCGGCGAGTATCGCGCATAATCCCCAACGCTCGTCACGGAGAATTCCGCGTTAATAATTCCCCGGCGGCGATAAAGAATTTTTCGCGAAGCGAAAACGCGTTTCAAGAGGGAAACTTAACGTTGAATATAAAAGAATAAAACTGAAGAATCCGATATGCATCTACTATGTGGTCGTCGCAAGTATTTTTCTACAAGTATGTTCGTCTCATGTACGAAGAGAATTTCTCTCACGGATATTGACTTACATTGCAAAATGTCATACTTGCTTTTCCGGCTAAGATATATTCATATTCCTCGAAATATTCGAAGAAACGCGATACCGTATATTTTTCAATAAAAACGTTCTTTTCGTGTACATATTATGCCAATATGTTGTATTTATCAACATTTCGTTTGACACTTTTCACACGAGAGGATACGTTCATTTTCATAATGGCGGATCCAGTAAGGCAGTACGTAAATATTCGAATTTATCAGTTTTTGAGGAATATATCAAGGTTGATTTTATATGAAATCTTTATAAAGGGTTTTTAGGGTGATGACGAACCCGGGGTCGAAATTTCAAAATTCAAAATTCAAAATGGCAGATTCAATATGGCGTTTCCAAGTGGCTAATTTTTTTATTCCATTCTAAAGAAGATCATATTTGATATATTCATGTTTTTTGGAATGGTGAATCCACTTGAAATTGTAAAATCTAACATGGCGGTTTCTAATAACTAATTGGTTTTCTATTATAGATACTCTTACCTCCATTATTAGCGGATGAAATATGTTGAAGGAAACTACTATTTTGCCGAATAGCTCTGGTGAAAACCTTGGAATTATGACAGTCGTTATCTGTGAATAAAAACATATAGCTTAATACGTACAGGGTATATCATCAACATACAGATCAGTACGACGGGTTGTCTGTCCTCATTCGAACGATAATGCAGAGGTTGTCGAAAAAGTCACTCGTTGATCTTGTCGATAATGATATTTGCAGTGCTCCCTCCCAGTTATGATGAGTGCAACTAATTTTGCACGGGATCGTTTATGATGGGAACCAAGTTCATTAAAAATTCCTCATTGAAAATTCCTCATTAGAGTGTAAAATGCTCATATTCTGAACTCTTTTTATCGAAAAAAAGTGGCTTCTGATGAGTCTTCTGATTTGTTTAAGCTGCAAACACTTCGAAAAACAAACGCTATTTTTGAACAAAGACGTGTTAAAATACAAGATTATATATCGAAAATATGTCACTTAATAGTTATCATCGACTATACTGCGATCAATAATTTATACTACGTTTCCCGCCGATTCATATTTTTGCAAAAGTGATCTATTCGAAAAACGATGGAATACGATATATATATAAGACTTCTAAATATTTCTGTATCTTTCTTATAACTTCCAATTCCTATCAAATTTTCCAATGCAAGAAATAAATTGAGAAATTATGTGAAACAGGAAAATATGTTGCATTATTTACCCCCTTGACTATTACTCTTATTTACTCTGCTTAAATTTGTAATGTTTATTTCTCAGTTTTATTTTTTTTTTTAATTTTTTTTTAATTTAACGAGGTTCGGCTGCTGTCATAAACTATTACGATGCAAAATTAGTTGCACTCATCATAACTGGGAGCACTGCAAATATCATTATCAATGAAGTCAACAAATGACTTTTTCAGCAACCTCTATATTATCATCTAAGTAAAGGCAGGCAACCCATCATACTGACCTATATATATATATATATGTTGATGTTACCTACGCAATAAAATATCAAAGTTAGTTTTCATATTAGATTCGCCATTTTGAGTTTTGAGACTTTGACCATGGATTCGCTACCAGTGATCCAAGAGAAACCCTTATAGACAAGCTTTCAAGTAAAATAAATATAGATAAGCTTTCGTATCTTTCTTGGTGCTGATCGAGAATCCCGGGGCTGCGGGTCCCGCTCACACTTTCGCACCCTTCGAATTTCAGGTACGTGCCAAAATACTCGAGCCGAGCGTGCGCTCGGTGAAACTGTCGAAGCTGTCGTCAAACACCCGCTACCTCATCTGCGTGTTCGGCCTCGGCAACTGGATGACGCCGAGCGTCGAGAACAACCCGAGCGCGGAGCAGCTGAACTTCTCGCAGACTGAGATCCTCGCGTCCACGCCGAGCTCACAGATGACCGACTCGTCCACCAGCCGCTGCACCGAGGTGAAAACGTTGGACGTGCCGGACGCGATAATCAGCAGCGACGGCTCAGCCATGGGCGACGTTGGCAGTGTCAGCAGCTTCCTGACGCGACGGCTCGGCTTGATAGTCGGCTGCTGCATGGGTTTCGTCGTCTTCCTGCTACTGGTGTCCGTGCTCGGCTATCTCAAGGTCAAGAAACAAAGGGAGGCGGTGAAGCGGGAGCAACAGCCGATACCGCCCGAGTACATATCGTACCGGCACTTCAGCATACAGAGCGGCGAGGCCGGCCACACCGCTGCCAAGCAGACCAGCATCCAAGATGGCCAACATCCGAGTTTCATCGGCAGCATGGGCAACACCACGCTGAACGTATGAGAAAAGTCACGGAACTCCCGACTCGTGGAGGTCTCGAACGTGTGAGCAGGCCCGAATCACTCGTCGATTCGAGCCTGCTGACCGGATCAGAGGACTCCTGCGACTCGCGGAAGTTTCGAATCTACATGCGCCAAAACAAACCAACAAGAGTCTCGAACAGACTGCTATATTCGAATCCCCGCGGCATGACGCCGCCGCCGAGGTCTCGCGAAATTGAGACTCGGACTGTCGCGATCATCGGCGCGCGCTCGTGCCGCTCTCTGAAGTATGACACGCACTTCAAGTGCTACACATAACACACACACACACACACACGCGCGCGCGCGCGCGCGCACGCACGCACACATACACACAGACACACGTACGACACTGAAACCGAAGAAAATACACACCCCATGCACACACATCGGAGACACTTTTTCACTGTTATCCCGGAGATGATGATGCGTCGTCGCGGTAACGACGTCTGGCCAAGCCAGAACTATCGCAAATCACATAAACGAACAGCAACGAAGAGTTCGAGCGAGTACGAGCGTTGAGTGAGTGAGTATATATATTTATGTGAGAGAATGCGACGCGCGAATGGAACCTTACCGATTAAGTAGCGGAGCATTTTATAAGGGATTTTCTACGAGTCTAAATTTCGTTCCAAGTAACTTTAATCACTTTTGCGAAGAGGGGGAGGGCTACAGACGTCATATTGGACGAGCGGGAGATCGGACGGACGGACGGACGGACGGACGGATAGACGAACGAGAGTCATCCCCGTGAGAGAGTGTACAGAACAGGAAATTGGTTTCGGTAATATACGAGCGACGTGAGCGCGCGCGCGTCCGCGCACACGAACCACACGCAAGAGCAAATTCTCTCTCGTATAGTCTGAAAAAATCTTACAGCTTTTGAACAAGACAAGATGTATTGTATAGCGAGCGCACTTTCTCCATCGCCCGCCGAGAGTAATAAATAATGCCGCATTCAGCCGAGAAACGCGTCATTGAACTTTGTATGAAATTGTCACTCAATAAATCGGGACTCTTGAAATGTTAACAATGTGCGATGTATGGAACGTCGCGCTGAATACAATCGATACGCGCGCGCGCACGCGATCCGAAAGGCAGAGGCGATAACGATAACGGCCGTCGGTAGGGTTTACAGATACGCGACCGACCCGTCGAGCTGTTGCGAGGATCCACAAAAAGCTTAAGCAGTAAGCAAATTAATCAGTCACAGCTGAATATTTTTGAGCGCCGTAAGGAAAATAATCAATTTTGATTAGTCAATTTTCTTTCCAAAGATGCTGGCGCGTCCAAAGCGATCTTGACAATGAAATTTATTAAATTGTAAGTAAGGTGCTTCCTGGGTCGTTAAATCCGAATTTAAAGTCAAAATTGCAAAATTCAAAATGGTGGACCAAATATCCAAAAACTCGTTTGGTTCTCAAATAAATTTTTATCGAGGGTTTCTGGAAGTCGTTATTTTGATTAAAAAACGGCACATTCAATATCGCGACGGCAAATATAAAATAATTATCAATTTGTATAAAAATTTATTTTCAGGCATTTTTTTTAAATCGGTTGAATTCGAGAGGAAAGTTTCAGATAATAATAACGGATCCGATAGTAGCCGAAAAATGTAGAAAATTATCCAATTTGCATGAAAGTTGAATTTCAGAAATGTTTGGCTCCATTTAATATAAATTTAAAATCGGAGTTTTCGAATGCAGATGGAGTATGTGCGATCCTAAAACTTGCGGATATTTCCGTCATTAAGAGTCTTTTCTTCCGCCGTTAAGTTAAAGGGTTAAGGGGTTAAGCAGTAAGATATAAGCAGTCAGGAAATTGACTAATCAAAATTGATTATTCTTCTTACTGTCCAAGAACATTCAACTGTGATTGGTTAGGGCCATGGCACATGGAATAACATAAGCGGTAAGACATAAGCTGAAAACAAACCGAGCAAGTTGAGAATATAAGCAGTCCCCGCTTACATTTCATTTATGATTGATCGATCCACTTACGTTTTTCTATATACCATCCGCTTCACAGAGTCGGACATAACCTAAACCTAAACCTAAACAAAACCTAAATCTAAACAAAGCTTCCAAAAAGTTTGAGTAGATAAACATAAACAGTAAGGAAATTAATCAGTCAGATCAGTCAATCAGTTGAATATTTTTGGGCCATAAGAAGAATAAGCAATTCTAATTAGTAATTTCCTATCTGCTCACGTCTTACTGCTTAAGTTCTTCTGCCCGGGCCTTAACATACGGGTGTCGCGTTTTATTCGCGCGAAGAATCGATCGCGGCCGTCGTTCGAGCAGCCGCGGACTATTTATCCCGCACTCTTCAGAGGAGGCTGCTCGTTCGTTGTGACGCGTCGCGCTGTATAATGCTGTCTCTGTCTTTTTCAAGAAATAGGAAATTCGCGGAGTGTACGAGAGACGCGACTGCGAGAGTCGCGCGGCCGCCGCCGAACGACTCTCGAGCGACGCGACGAGAGGGAGATACGGTAGATAGACTTTATCTCGTGTAATACGACGCGCATTTGCCGAACGATTTACGACTAAACACCGCGCTATTACATATCATCCAGCTTCCATTCGCGAGCGGGATCGGACGGCATGGGCCGGGACGGGTGCGGGTGCGGGTGCGAGGACGGTGGCGGACGGATGTGAAGTGGCTATTGTGTTTTCTTAATGGCTCGGCAAACCGCGCGGTTTAGGACGTCACCGCGCGCCGATGTCGCAAAATGGCATGCCATTTTGCGGCGAACGCCCGTGACGGTACCATCAATTTCCGATTGGGCCGGGCGGGACGGATCAGTGGGAAAATGGGACGCGAAAAATCGCTCGTCCCTACACACGATCGATTGCGCGACTCAGATTCCCCGGCGTGATAAGAGGATAAAGAATGTGAAGAAAGTGTAAATGTTAAAGAACGTATTTCTTTGCACGCTCGTTCGGTTCGGAGCGCTCCGGGATCCGCGCGGCTCTGCGGAATGACGCGCGATCACCAGTTCGCCGACACCGAGAGAACACTTGCGTGCCATCGCGGATATACTGAGGCAATCATTCCTTTTTCATAAATATTAATATTAGTAGCGACCTCTCGCCGGCTTGATCGACCTTGACATACTCTCTAAAAGTGAATCAGTGAAACTCACTGTTGATCAGTGATTATGCACTGATTAACAGTGAGTTTCACTGATTCACTTTTAGAGAGTACATTGTCAAGGTCATGACGCTGACTAATTCGCGAAAAGTTTTAGCCGTCGTTTATTGCTGAAAAAGTCATTAACGGAAGGATTCATAAATGAAGCCTATTGTCCCGAGACATTGCACATTAAAAAATGTTCAACAGTACATTTAACGAGGGAGGAGCGGAGCCTCTTCCATGAAAAAGAATCCAGCCTAACCTAACCTAACCTAATCCAACCTAACCCAACTTATTTTTTTTATATACGGTTGGACGTTGTTAAAAAGGATTGTTGGAGGAAGTTAAGGTTTCCTTAATTCTCTACAACTAAATTTTTCTTCGTCGGTATAAAAAGATTATGTAACATGAAACCAGTAAATATTAAGCTCCAGATATAAATTAACAAGTTATTATTTATTTACAAACGCGCATTATTAACTAACTTACAATTTTCAAAGATTTTATTCTAAAAAACGGTTTGTAACTTACATTGGATTACAATATCTATACATGCACATATAATTTAAGTTAAAAATATCGATATATCAGTATGTACGTAATTTCAAAATTACGTGATGTTACAGAGGTTTAAAACTCACGGTGTATTGTTTAACGTTTTTAATGCACACTGTGTCGGAAAAGCAGGCTCTGCTTATAAAACATTTTTGTTAATAATTTTTCAACAATAAACAATGGCTAAATTTTTTGCAAGTTAATCAGAGCTATGTCCTTGACGATATATGACAAGATCATCGGAATCGCGATGAAATCGCCACTGATATTAATGTTTACCGATTCCTTTGTTGTCAATCGCACGTACGCGCGCGCGCGCGCTATTTTTAATGCGATTCGCTTGATTTATAGAGGAAAACAACGTAGAATAAATACTGTACGCGATGTTCATCGAATTAACGAACGGACACCGTATAAATAGATCGGATCGAATTGAAGACCAATCGAACGCGAATCTCTCTCCATTTCGAGCCCACGGACCTCTGTCTTTCTCTTCCAGTACAGATATTTGCGTCGTATGATATTCGCCGAGGAAGCCGCGCGATCGAGGTGACATTCTGCGGTTCGTTTAGGATCTATAAATATACGTGGAACGGTTGTATATATAGGTACACACATCGTATCGAGAGCCTATGTATTCTACAAGTTTAAGGATATCGATCGACAGGATTATTATCGTAAAGATCCCGATGACCTCTTAATTAACGAGACATGTAGTTGAATTTAGCATCCGCGCAATGATTTTTGCGGCGGAAGTTGACGAGACGGGATCCATCGGGGCTTTGACCGGTGATGTCGATGTAACGCGACGGACTGTGTAACGTATCGCGCGCATTAGCAATGAGCGACGCACACGCTCATGGATGGAACGTTTTCGGGATTCGATTTAGCTGACGGATTGACTCGCCCGATATCGCCAATAACCTGTATAATTGCCATGGATATTGAAGTCGCGTTTGCCGCAAACGCGACGAAATATCGCGCTCGCTGCAAAGGAATTTTTAATGTCGGCGCGTTTGCACGCGAGGGAACGCGAGAACGCGAGAGCGCTTCGACAATTTCGCGCGCGCGCGCGCGCGCCCTGTTCGCGCTTCGACGGGGACGTGATTATCGAGGCAATACGATATCCGGAGTGAGCTCGTTATGAAAAATTGTTACGGTATAACGCTATGCGGAAAAATGGAGCTCGTATTCGAACGATAATAGTTCATTATCGCATCACGGATCGCGAGCGATCGGCGATGAGAGAACTCGCGCGAGACGGTCGGGATGATGAGCAAGGAGAGAGAAGGATGGAGAGGAGAAGAGAGAGAGAGAGAGAGAGAGAGAGAGAAAGAGAGAGAGAGAGAGAGAGAGAGAGAGAAGAGCTGAATGTCGGAAAGCGACGCGAAGTCTGTGTATGCATTGTCGTTATACACTGTGTACTGTACCATATACGTACGTCACTGTAATAAAAATGCAAATCTTTTTGTAATCGAGTGTTTTTCATCCTCCAACACCTGCCGCGCCAGCATAGACTCTGAAAGGGCGTATTAATCCATCCGTCCGTGATATCGCCGGGGCCGACGAGATTGAACCATAACCGACCGAGTTTTTCTTACGAGCCTCGGGTACTACACCGGCAAAGAAGAACGACATAATTCTTAGCGTCGTTTCTACCTATCTATATCTAGCCCGCCTTACACTATCCGCCTGTTCCAGAGACCGTCGCGCTTCCACGTTCCGTGTTCCGAACGCGCATGCGAGAGCGGATCACGTTACATTATGTAGGCTACATGGCGCTGCGAACGAAATACGGTTTATATTGAAAACGAGATCAATATTCGCGAAATACATTAATTTCGATATATCGGCCGTATCGGAATTCGTCGACGAGTTCCCATCGAGTTGGCAATTGCGCGACGGCGGGCCTGGCCCAGCAATCGCGGATAAATCAACGACTTTTTTACGGCAGATGGAATATACGAAGCAATCTCTGTCGCGCTGCAGATCTGCTGTCACAAAGAATCGGATGAAGGTAACTTATTAACGGCGAGCTTTGTGCGATTTCTTGTCGCTTTTATGTCAATTTTCCTCGTTCGATGCGTTGTCGAATATATAAAAATAACACAAAACTGATTAAATCACATACATGTGCACACAGCGATGCAGAAATATCGCGAAGTAACGCAATAACATTCTGAGAGAGAGAGAGAGAGAGAGAGAGAGTCACGTAAGTAAGATGGACCTGAAAATAAAAATGCAACGAGTTGTGCATTTAACCAAATGTCGTTATATAAACGGATCCATTTTTTTTAATTCATTACGATATCATCTCGAGACGATCACGTGCGTTAATTAAGCCCATAAATAACTCTTGCGCGTCGCAAGATGAAATGTGTATTTTCGGACATAGCGTAGCTTCAATAATTTGACTGTGGACAAATTTTTAGAAAATTTTTCCTGTAGCGGCCATTTCTTTGGTCAAGCCTTGCGGTAACCTAATAAACCAAATGTATTCCAACAAATAGGATATCATTTTACTCACAGATTCTAACTGAATTTAATGATATATAAATGATGAAAATACGCTCTCTTCCCTATCTTTAATAAAGAGGGAGCCTCAAAAGAGGCTAAAATAAATAAGATCACTAAGCGTTTTCATCAGTGTTTTCTATGCAGATATCGCACAGCGACTTCCACTGACGTTGAAGCTGGCGCTTGAATCTCGAGCTGAGACCTACCATGCCTGAGAAACCAACTGAATAATTCTTTCCCGAGAGTCTTAGCCAATCTTCATCAAAAATAAACGTGTTGCCCGCCACCAACACGAGAAGATGATTCTCAATAGCAGATAAACAAATACTCTGCGTTTTTTATGGAAATATTCAATTTTTTAATTTCTCACTTTATGGCCGAACACTCAAATAAATTACGATAATTTATAATCGCGATAATTGTATCACAAGATTCAACTCATTAAACTGAGTAAAATGATATTTTTGTTAACTTATCGACCTTTAGAAATTTCAAAATTATTAAAATAACAAAAGTTAGGGCACTATTATATATTCTTGATAGTAAATAAAATAAAAAAGTCTAATACTATTTTTTCTTTCGACGAATATTTAACGAGATATCGTAAGTTAAATGTTGAAAAAATTACCAAGTTTTCCTTAAATATTTCAAAAAATATTAAGCAAATAAAAAATGTTTCAGACAAAAGTTGTTAAAATTAATTGGTAGAAAAAGAAGATATAATAAAAAATTGGGCTTTCTATTTAAAAAAATTGAGCTAACCTTCAACTGACCTTGAAAATGCCCTCCAAATAAAAAACTAATAATGCCATTCTCTTTCCCCTTCGAAATCATGGAAAACGTATTTTAGCTTTTTTTAATATCTTTCAGTTTTCGAGATTTTTTAATGCAAAAATTAAAATGGGATATCCTGTATATATACCAGGGTGTTCTAAAAAGATATGTCAAAAATTTAAGGAGATATTCCTCGCACCTGAAGGGTGAAAAAATGTTATATGGACATAGGTGCGGAAATGCTTGTTTCAGGAGTTATGTTGAAAATATTCATTTCCCACATTTATTGTAACTAACTCAAGGTTATATTTATATACATATATATATATATATATATATATATATACATACATATATATAGGATGTTTTATATTACCCGTTCGTTTTATATTACTCCTTTTAAAATGAAAGAAAATGGTTTTTAGCAAAAATCCCAAAAATTTTCGTGACTAAATTGGTTACGCTTTCAATGGTAATATTTTCAATTTTCAATACTGACCGGAAATTAACTATGCAAACCGGAAGTTGAGTTTTTAAATGAAACATTGAACTTTTTCTTGCATATTCAGATTCCATATAAAGAAATAAGAAACTTTTATCCCAAATATTTTTTTAATGCTTCCAATAACGTTAAAATGATATTGAAATTGTAGTGAAAAAAATAAATGTTTCCTGCATTCCTGAATGATTTTATTCAGGCTAAGTGTTCAAACTTAGTTTGAATAAACTTCATTCTGTGCGATTGAATAAACATCTATTCTACTTTGGAAAAGAAGATGCTTGAAGAATTTCTTTAGCATCTAAGGATCGAATTGTTTACATTTATCCTACAAATCATATTGCTATTTGTAGTCAGACGTTCACATCAAGTTTCCTTTCTCACGAAGAATAATGAAGGATGGTAAGATTCGCTGATCAAGGTGGATAACTTATTGGATTATACCTGTCTATCCATTTGTTCGGATTCGCACACGAGTAGCAGACCGTTTCGCGGCGGCTACGTGTGAGACACACTTTCAGACTTTTGATATAATTTCAAGATCACTAGAGATATTTCAGACAAAAAATATTTAGGACAAAAGTTTCTTATTTTCTGGTATGTAATCCGAATTTGCAATAAAAAGCGCTATGTCTCATTTAAAAAACTCAATTTGCGGTCTGCATAGCCAATTTTCAATCACTACTGGAAGTTGAAAATATCGCCAAAATATTGGATAAAGCGTACCCGATTCAATCATGAAAATTTTCGGAATTTTTGCTAAAAACCATTTCCCTTCGTTACAAAATTTATTTTAAAACACCCTGTATACATATATATATATATATATTTTTTTTTTTCTTCACGTTGAAAACTAAATTCCTGTTATTACATGTCGCAGGAGGAAATTTCAATTTATCGCGCGAAAGATAAAACTCACTCGCGCGGCGTTCAAAAGATCGTCGTGCGCCCAGCGCCGATGTTCCAACAGAAAACTCAAATAGCGATAGCTATGAGATACCTGTACTCGCACCGGCGGGACCAGTTTCAGGCCACCACGACATTCTGGGCACGGAGAGAGAAAAAAAGGGAGATAAAGAGAGAGAGAGAGAGAGAGAGAGAGAGAGTGAAGTGGAGGGGGGGGGGGGGGAGACATGAGGCGTGTTCAAGAATAACGGAAGTCACGGGAGCCGCAGGACTCCCGTGGGATGCAATCGGAATTCGTAAAGTATGCGGCATGCTCTCGTTTATTTCGGTGTCCGCCCTGCCGACGAGCCGGAGGTCTCTTTAAAGCCATCCCTACGCCTCGTATAAATTTTCCAGCGTCTCGACGAAACGCTTCCCGTCTGCTTTATCGTATTTCCTTGCAATTAACCCCTCCTCACCGTCTCCGCGCCCCGCGCGCCCCCAGTCCGCTGCGCCGTGGGCTGTAGATCGCGAAGTAGAGGCGTTCTGCATATTTCATTTGTTCCCGCTACGCTCCGGCAGAGGCTGGGCGCGTCCCGGTTTCGTTGTTCCGGAATTGCAAGGGCGGTGACCCGTGGCCAGGAAATTGAAACTCGCCGTTAAGAACACGCGTTACGCCGCCGACGGCAAGTAGCTTCGATAGCGGAGGAGCGGCGGCGCAAAATGGCAGAAACGCCACGCGCCATTACGTCGCCGAAGAGGCTCGAGACGAACGCTGAGATTATTATCCCCCTGCAGCCAGATAATTAACGCGGTTTAATTAATTAAACGCAGAGCTCCGCGACGAACTTCGCCGAGATTCACGTAATCGAGCCGGCCGCGCGCGGAAAAAGTCCCGTTCGCCGTGGATCGGAAAGCTCCGACGTGAGATAAATGGACGCCCGGCGAGGAAGTCGCGCGGTTTTCTAAGACGTCTCTCAGAGCGGAGTAATTCAAATCGCACCGAAGGGACAATCGCGCCGCTCGGGACATTGTCGCCGTGTCATTCCACTCGTTGCGACGGACGTAACTGACGCAGATGCGACCGAGCCGGTAATTTAAGTGCGTTCGCGGCCGCCACGGTTGTCTTCAAGCGTTATTTATCGGCGCCGGTAAGCGCTAGAACGTAGCCGAAAGGGGACATTAGAACTTAAACGCGACGTAGGACGCTTAAAGATTAAGGGTCATGAGTTATTGCACGCTCCAGCATCATCCGTCTGCAAATCACCGACCGCAAAAAGGAACGACGTGGATCAAAAGAATACTCTCCGAGCGTTATAAATTTTTCCGTCCCACAGATTCGGACTGATGGGAGGTACCCGGGCGATCCAGCGAACCGTACGCAGGTGTACGAAATCGCGAAGTCGAATCGTTATAATAGCTCTCCGTCGCGTAGTTTCCTCCCTTCAGAAGAATCCTTTTCTTGATTGAATAATTACCGAAGTATTCTTCAGTTTGTTTTCGTTAATCGAAATCGATGTCGGTTGAAATAAAATACCTATATCGGAACGAGAATGGTTGCGGAGGGAGGAACGCCCCCTTATGTAAATTATGTTAAGGTATAAAACAGCATCTGCTGTCATCAGAACTGATTTTCCAATCGGTATGCGAGAAAAGGATCTTCCTTAGGCTTCATTAAGAGGCAGCTGAAAAGTCCGATCCGACATATGTCGCGAAGTGGGAATTCTTCTATTTTCCATCTCTCGCTCGGTAGATTCGCAAAATGTGTACGAAATCAAGCGCAAACAAACACGGCAGAC